TTTTTAAAATCAAAACTCTCACTATAAGAAAGATTCTAAAAAATGTTATCAGACAACTTTAGACAACTTTCAAGATGTAACCAGCATCAGCTGTGGCCCAAATCTTTGTTATAAATGACAAATAGGTGGCTGAGCCGTGGGTGGGGTGAGTTGGAGGCCGCCAATAACAAACTCTGCATTTTCATGCCCCCAGACCCCCCTAGAAAGCTTGTGCCTATGGTGCTTGTGGTGCCACCCCCCCAAGGAAATCCCAGATCTGCCCCTGTCTTGTGACCTTATTGTGTGATTTGGGGGTGATAATTATTGTAGGAAGAAATTAAATGCTAATCACTCCTCCAGTTCAAAGGGTTAACCCTTTCACTTTAAACAGCTAAATATCAATTCTAAGTCTCTGCAATGTCTGTCTGACATTTCTTTCAATTTCTTAATTTTAAGCTGTGAGAATTTGGTGGCAAAAGAACAAATATCTCTCAGTAACTGACCTTTTTCTTACTTCTCATCACTTTTCTGCTTAACAATAAAGTGGCATTGTTAGGAGAAGTTCTGTCTTGGTCACCTCTAGCAGGAATGAATGGGTAAATAAGAAGTAGAGTCTGTTGCCTCTAAATTTAAGGTTTCATGAAATAACACAAGTGCCCTTGGAGCAGTTAATTAAGTACTGACTACTGCCTGCACAACTAACCTACCTAATTTTAAGCCATAGACAAAAAAGAACTCACCCAGAAATGCGATAAGACGTTTACATCGATAGTGGCTGAGATTTCTTCATCACAACAATCCATGAACTTCTTTCCTGTTACGATACCAGCGTTATTAATGAGAAGGGAAACTTCACCCATTTCCTCCTTCACTTTCTCTGCTGTCTTGGAAATTTCCTTCCTATCTCGCAGGTTACATTTGTAAGAGTGCACCACACCATCAGCCGCTTCTATTTCCTTGGCAACAACCTCAAGTCCATCACCATTGACATCCCATATCACCAATTTGCAACCTGGAAAAGAAAAAAAAAAAAATTAATGATTTTCCTCACCATGACTTGCTGTTGATCATGGTTCAGTTTTATTCTTAGCTTAGTAATTTTAGATTCATTTGTTCTTGTATATTTCACAGAGATATCTTTTCTTGTATGCCAACTCTCCTGCATTATAAAGGAGTATTCCCTGCATTTACGTGGCACATCTCATGGTCTCCCCTAAAGTTGGCTAAATCTCTTGCACGAAAGTACATTTGGATACTAAATTTTCTCTACTAAGTTAAGAAAATTTTATCTTTATTGGCTGTTCTTTTCAAGTAAAATAGTGTTGCATGTCAGAAATTGTTTACACTAGTCTTATAGATAGTGAGAGTACATTGCAACAAATTCTAGGTTAAAGGGAGGGACTACTACAGAGCTGTCAATCAAAAAATTTGAAAGGAGTAGGGGCAACATCATTCAATGTCCCAGATCTCTAGATTCCAGATTTCAATAAAAGAACAAAGGGAAATAAATTTTCAACAAGAAAAAGAACAGCATTAAACTACATCATATATTAAATTGAAGCTGATAAACTCACTACCATGACTGACCAAAGAGAAATTTCTCCTTACTATAAATGTAAATTTTCAATCAGAAAGGTGATGAGAAGAAATACATTGAATAAAGGATATTTTTTTGATCAAAAACTAAATTCTCAAAGGTAAAATTATACAAAACGTACAGCAGACAGTGCAGAGAATTGAGATTCAGATAGTCTGATGAAGTCATATATTTACATGGATCTCTTTTTTGAAATCTCATGAGAACCAATAGTAGATTACAACTCTCTCCCAGTTACTTTCAAACAAGCATAATAAAGATTTCATTACCAATGTTTAAATTATCCCCATGGCTATAGAATTCTTTATTTGTAATTGATAATAGTGGTTAAAAAATTGAGGCATAAGTAGTGGAAAGGTGGTAAGCAGTAAGTAAGCTTTTATATGGGCACAAGTGGCCCATGGGGCCGGTGCTTAACTCCGGTTTTCTTAGCATGATGTGGCTAGGAGTATTGCTACTCCCCCCTGGATGGGATGCTAGTCCATTGCAGGGTTACCCCTAGCACATTTACTGGTACTCATTTGTACACCTGTGTGAAGAGAAGCACTGTGAGAGTAAAGTGTCTTGCCTAAGAACACAACATGACCCCAGCCAGGGCTCGAACCCAGACCACCCGATCTGGAGTCGACCGCACAAACCATGAGGCCACCGTGCCTCCACGTGGAAAGGTGGTAAGGGTAGTTGTTAAAAAAAATTTGACCACTTTACACTTTTCCTTTAAAAATGTCCAATTCCTCTAATGGGCCTTACTGTATACCTACATTTAAAAATCTATCTTACTGTATACTGTTAGTAATATATTTTATGGGTATGTGGTTTCCCTCAATCTTTTCCATTTGGCATCAGCATCCGGTTATTTCATTCCTATTTTTTTTCCAATATGATTTTAGGCTTGACTAGGGCAGCAGCCCACTTGGAGTAAGTTCCAACTGAAATCTTTGATGTTAAGGCAAATAAAAGTCACCTAACCAACTGTTTTCAATAAAATTCGGTTCTCTGATATTTGACGATCATCCTCTTTAGGCAGTATTCCACACACCAAGAACTGCTCAAGATCATAATTATGTTAAATACACAGCACTTTCTGTGTGAAAATATAATCCTTGACTGAGCTAACATCAGTGGTTACTTAGCCCTGTGAAAATATCAGTCATTCCCGATGTTTTCTTCCAGCACTTTCGTTTAAATACTGTTCACTGTTTTTGAAGAGGATTACCGTATTTCAATTTATCAAGTCCGATTAGCACTACAAGAGATGATTTAAATCAACCCCGAAGAAAACCTGTCATGATTTAATTCCCAGATATATGAAAGACCAGTTTAAGTTTCTAGTTGAGAAATTAAAGTGGGAGAAATTCAAGTCTGGAGGGCGAGCTCGCTTCATGGGCATTATGCCTGATCATGGTGTAATATTCATTTGATGGGCAGAAGACAAACCTTTGGCTGCCAATCCAAGAGCAATTAGTCTGCCAATTCCGCTCGCTGCTCCCGTCACCAAAGCAATTTCTCCGCGAATGTTTTTTCTCTGTGGGGGGAAAATCCATTTCATCGCCGACTCGAACACATAGAGCCAAACTCGTAGTATAACGCACGCTATTTCCCAAATCATGCCTATCACATATCCTTTTCCCGTGAAATACAGGGCCAAAAGAATGCCTTGAATGGTCATAAGAGCGTATAGCACATATACCAACGCCATCACACTAAACGAATTGACAAGTTAATCTTTGTAGGCTGATGCGTACGATGTTCGGTGTGCTTTGTTTGGAGGCAGCTGTCTCATTCGATTTCCGGAAAACTGGGGAGAGGAAGTCGGCTTGAATATTGGGAGAAATAAATTTGTTGTTCTTATAAAAGACGCCACAAACAGGAAAAGGTCAGCTCGCCACCCTTAAGAAAAGAGAAAATAATTTCCGACTAGCCACTCAAAAATCTAGAGGTTCACTCATAAACGTTGTCGTACATGTAGCTGTCAATTTTTTTCTGTCATAGGCAACATCAGTATTTATAACTTTAAAAGTAAAAACCAAGGTTTATTGAAGAACAAAATGTAAAATATTTTTATTTATTTTCCAATGCTTCTCTCGGCTCAACAGCTGAAATCACTCTATGCCGGCAGGAGAGGATCCACATACAGCACTATTCTTCTTCCGCCATTTTGAATATCCCATATGTCTTTGCACGCATTATTGTGAACCCGCGATATTTTGGTGTTAAGATTGAATCATCTGAAAAGATGAAGTAATTTCGAGAACTGGTAGGGTTAGTTATTTTGCCGTTTTTTTCGGCTACGTGTTACCTAATTTGCTATCACGATGTGATATTTTTGATACAATATTATAAACGTCGCAAATGAGTGGCAACAGTGTTTTTCTGCAACGTGTAATTCGACCAACACCGCGATTTAAATATTCATTGAGGGACTTGTAAAGTCATGTTGGAGAGCTTGGCAGCATGGGTTCTGAGAACTTACGTTGGAGAATACGTGGAAAACCTCAACACTGACCAGCTTTCCATCGGCTATGGTATGTCAGAATAACGTGTAAGCTTGTTTATACTTCTCATTGAAAACCTTTGATCAATTATAGGCGGGATTGTTGCGTTACACATTATCGAATTAATATCGATATGTGTTAAATTTAAACTTATCTTGGTGATATCCCTGGGATATGAACATTTTGTGACTTTAGGAAAGCGTGAGTATGGTTACTGGATACCTTTAGTCCTATTGACCATTAAGTAATTTTTAGTTATAATTATTCTGACGAGGTGACTCTTAAATAGACATTCCCCGCTTGGTTATAAAATATGATTTTGTATCGTGCCTGCAAAGTAAAAGTGTGTGCAGCTTTCGGTCTGTATGGGGCACCGTAAGCAGAAAACGTAGTTTTCAATTTCAGGTGGGTGTGTTCACCCAAATGTTAGAAAAGGACACAAATTGCAAGAGCTCTGTCGATTTGCTTGAACAACATCCAGGAATGATGTTATTAATATTTGCTATCTGAATAATTAAAATTAATTTCAAAATATGTATCTCCTTGTGGATACATTGCAGGAGGTAAAATTTTCAATAGTTCATGTATATTTGTAAGGTATTGATGGATATTTGTCCTGTGAGGAGTTTTTTCATCTAGTTGCTTAATATGACAGCTCAAATATTTACATTAAGGTACATGTTATAACATTATCTGAGCACCTTATCAATGTTTCCATGTTTTTTCGGTATGTTTTGACTTTCTGGTAATGCAATTGAGGGACAAAGATTTCTGGTTATCTAACAAAAATCTATGATGTTACAATCAAATTGCCTGCTTTGATTCTATGCAAGAAAAAATGTGCAGAGTAGACTTACAAAGTGAAAGTAGTTCCCACTTCACTAAATTTTTGGAAATTAATTTTATTAAAAATGTAAAGAACACCTTTCAAATCACTTTGTTTTGGTAATGAAAAAGGGACACGGGCCATCCCTGTTGGCTTTCTTTCCCACGCTCAAAGTCATTCTTGATTCTTATTGATGCCAAATCTTTTTGCTATATGATATATATTTTATTGACCAAGTTTGTTTGGCCAAGATGGCTGGATATAGGCCATGTTCTTTTTTGTTTTCTGTGCTTTTATGGACCTTGACTTTGTCTTGGTCCACTTAGATGCTAAAAAAGAACTCAGCCAATATCCAGCCATCCTGAGCTCATGCTCAGTCAACAACGCATAATTAGATATTTTATGGAGAAATTCAGTCTTGGTCATTCATGGGATTTAAAGGGTTAACTGTTACCTTCATTGATCTTACCAGGTACTGTTGATCTTCATAATCTACCACTAAAAAAGACAGCATTGAAGGGGCTTGAGCTTCCATTAGAAGTTAAATCTGGATTTATTGGTCATCTGCAACTCTCAATACCCTTGCGTCGGCCGAAGTCTGAACCATGGATTGTACATATTAATAAGCTTTATCTTGTTGCTGGCCCTCTTAAACATTCAGAGGTAATGTCAAATTGATGTATGTATATCTTTTTTAGCTTTAGTATTTTTTTTTTCTGTAGCCAATATGATGCTTCTGTCTGAGACTCTTTCAGTGTGGTCTAGTTTGATTTTTTTTTTTCGGTGAAAGTGATGCTCAAAATACTATAATTATAAATTTGTGCATGCTCTAAAGTCAGAGTAAAACAAAAAAAAAAATGAAATCTGCACATTTTGCTTTAATTTTATTTTGTGCATAACAGTGGATCAAAATTGAACACTAACAGCCAGATTGCTGGAGGATTCAAACAATTACTCACAGCTCTACTGTAACTTCTTACAATTATTATGATCATTAAAAAAAATTAGCCATCCTAATTTCTTGCACACTCAGGTGTTCATCTTTTGTTTCGAACATTGATCACCTCACTCAGTAACAAATGATTGGGCTTGTGTTAGTTAGTCACACATGTGCATGTACTGGTAGTTCACTCTGTTATCCAAAAGTGGTACAACTGACAGTGATTTAATTTTGTCTGTTTAGTACAATGAAGAAGAGGAAAAGGAGAGAGAAAGGACACGCAAGAAGAAACGTCTGGATGCATTGGAGGGTCAGTGGCTGGTAAGTTGTCTTGGTTCCTTTTTAGACCTGCAAACAGAACAGCATTTTGTACTTCTCATAACAGAATAAACTTAAGTTGATGGAGTTTCAGCTCTGTTAGTGTTTGATGTTAATTTAGCACAACAATAATTGGTTTAGATCTGTGACTTGTCTGCAGTTTCACTAAGAATCTCATAAAATAACTTGGGAAAGGCAATCAAACATTTGGTAATCAAACCCAGTCAATCGCAATGTAACTCAACCCTAATTAACAACTGCGTCGCTAAGTGGAGGTTGGGTGCCTGAAGCATCCAGAGGCCTCCACTTTTGGCAGCCAGCTCCTAGATGGAGACCTCTCCCATGGCTGGCAAATCCTAGCAACCCAGCCATGAGCCTCTACACAGGAAAGTGAAACAGGCACTTGTCACACTGAATAAACAGTGGAAAGAGGGAGGGAATAGATTGGGAAAACTGCTTGGACAATGAGCTGCCACTCCCCACAATGCTGCAAGTTCAGGCTCAAAGCACGTGCTAGAATGCCTCAAATGAAGAGCATGGAATTCTGACACATGCATGTAATTATGCAAAAAACTGCTGACTTCTAGAGAATGCTGATGCTCTTTGTTATTAACTGCATTAAATTGCAATTAACTGCATTCAAATCTGTCCATCAGATTGCTTTCTTGCATTTCGTGATAAAAAAAATTGAATAAATTTTTCTGGGAACTTTTCTTTCTGGAAACCAGTCCCAATTGAACAAGTATGCATATTTTTTTACTATGTTGAGGTAAAAAAATGGATAGAATTTTATAATAAGAACATTCTTTACATGGATATGCTGTATCATAGCCTTTCCAACCCCATAACAAATTGTAATTATGTGACTTTGGCACAAAAATCATTGAGGTGTGAATTGAGTTGCATGCTGTGGATTTTGTTGGTATAATAATTTTTCATTCATAATTTTCCATTTCTATAAATGTTAGTCACAATTTAAATAAGGTCATCTAATTATTTGATTTACTTGAACAAAAAGTGTGTTTAACTTAGCCTTTTTCTGGGTCTACTGGGCAGTTTTTGATTGAAGAGTTTCTGAGAAATGTCATGGAAATTTAAATCATTTGATTGCTTTCAATTGTTGTAAATTGAGAGGTTCATTTTAGAGATCTTGGTGAAGAATTTGATCATTTTCTGATTACAGAACTCAACTGAACATATTCCTTGATTGATAAGATTGTGTTCATTTGAGTTTGATTGGAAATTCTTACGATTTTGTTTTGGACCATCTACTATGGGTACATGGAAATTGTGCTGTGCAGTGTAATATTGTAAGGTATGATACCTTTTTCTTTTTGACACAGGCTGGCAGAAATGAGAACAGTGGAGGCTTCTGGTCTGGTTCATGGTGGCCATCCTTGTACTCATCTTTCTCAACAACTATTGTTGAGAACTTACAGGTATCATTTTCAATTGGCTGCTCTCATCCCTCTTTGGCTTTTTCTCTCTTCTTCAACCTTTGTTCAGATATTGTTCTGTTCCTTGTTTCCTCTTTTCCTTTCTTCCTCTGTTCTATCATTCCTCTCATTACTGCTCTTTTATCCTTTTTTCCATCATCCTGTTGTTTTTCAACCCTGTAACCCTGAAGAGTTACAAGCATCTACATGTTATTTCTCCTTACAATATCACCCCTAAATCAAAAAATTTAAGGAAATGATCAGCTACTAAATGTGAAGGAGCTCTTGCTGGTTAGCAGGTTCTCCTTGTCAGCCCTGTAGGAATTGTGTAAAGAATGGTATGGAGAGTCTTCATGCTGGTGTTAGGCAGTAATGTGTTAATCTCTCTGTTGCTTAATTTGTCTGTTCCTCCAACCCTCTGCTCCTTCATCCATCAGTCCCCTCATCTATCTTATCCATTGTCTTCATTTTGTTTTTGTTTTTTTTTGTTTTTTTATCCATTGTCTTCATCCTTATACTTCTCAATACTCATGTTTCCTCTGTCATTGTGTTGGTGATTTCCTTGATCCCTGATGTCAACCTGAGTTCTTTTCCTGTTACTACCTGTATACCACTATACTGTACAACTGTTACATATTTGATTATTATTATTTTTTTTTAATTGCAGCTTGTCATTAGTGATGTACATTTTCGCTATGAAGATGCAACAACCAGGGAGTCTGTCCCTTTTTCATTTGGAATAACTATTGAGAAA